TTGACAAAGGTGAGAATCTTTGCTAGTGTTTAGAAGAATCATGTGCCGCTAGAATTCAGGCAGCGTCTATCTTATTTAGCGAGAAATATTATATCGTTTATTAGAGAAATATCTTGCTGAATTTTAGCTATCAATTTTCGATCAGTAGAAGAGATTTCTTGCTAAGATGACGTCGTATATTTCACTTGTTTTGGTTCTATCATTTACCCACTAACATTACGCTATACGTTTCTTTCATCTATATTGCTTTAGCATTCATCCACATCTATATAACATTCTCATTAAAATACTCAAACTTACTATCAATGGATGTAAAGCGTCCACAGTTAAAATTTTTTAATAATCTTTCCATCTGCTGATTTCTGAACCCAGTCCCAATTCTGAACTTGCCTTGAAAGGACGGACAATCATATTTTCAAATTCAAATTAATGGTGAAAATCATTACATTCCTAAGAATACTGCTTGCTGGTACTTCATAAAAAAAAAGCAAAACTCATATATCCAGTGGTCGTCTGGAGCGAGTACAACAACCATTTCATCAAGAATAAAGTGTTCTGTTATTGTCAGGTTTTTTGAAGTTGTGAAAAAGCATTTTTTCTCTCATACAAAATTTCATCTCATAATGTGCGAAACCTCGGTATAAAATCACATTAATGTTCGAAGCCGTTATAAAGTAGTGAATATCAGATCTTATCTGTTGCACAGGAGATAACGGTATAGTCAGAGCACCTCATTCACGGTATGTAGATTGGATATAACAACGAACTGATATTAGCATTAACATATACGAATACACTTTCTCTAAAAGTGCAAGCGTGAATATTGAACTGCATCAAACATCAACTTTGCTCTCACATTTTTCGGTTATATGTCGCATCAAAATTGAAACATACAACAAGGAAAGTAGCCCTACTCAGAAATGACCAAGATAAAGATTTGGTAACCAAAAAGAACATCTGAATTTTTCGTCTGGAGGAAGTTCGAGATATAAACTACAGTAGTCTATTAAAAAGAGCGAAATTTAGATAATTTACTTTAGTTTAGCTTTTAAACACTAAGTTTGGTAATAAAGAGATACATTTGCTCTGTTTATGCTGACAAAATGATTCTGATATGATCCTTATATGATCCTCAATCCTTCTATTACGATTCTATATGATATCGTAATCCTTGAAAAGCGTTGTTTCCTCCTTGTAATAACTCCCTTCTTTCAAGTCCGTGGAATCTTACAGACGACCAAAAAGTCAAGTTAAAGGAGATGTACTATGTTCTTTTATCTTGTTCGACGATACCCACGATCATCAGCAACATTTCCGCGAGACTACCGCCTCCAGACTGTCATTAGAAAAGATACACTTCTTGAAGTGCGTCCATGAGAAGCCTTGTTTCCATCCACTAGTATTCAGAGTTATACACTTTTTGTTGCATCCTCTGCTAACTTTTACCAAGTATAGCTCGTTTCGCAACGTACTTAAAAGTATCGTTCCGAATACACCCAGCAGACGTTCATTATTAGGCTGAAAGGCGAAGCAGATGGAAGAAGAAGCAGTAACCACTACGAACTTTGAAAAGGTCGTGGAAACATAGAGCACAAGATTCTCTATCTATTGATGTTAAATACTTTACTTTTAGCATCGGACTTGATGATCGAAGGCTTACACAAATCGATAGATGTATACAGAAAACAAGAGAACGCAGCTGGATGATTGAGTAGGTGTTAATCTTTTAAATTTTGCGCTCACAAGAAAACTTTATTTGAAAAACAAAGTCGGCAGCTTTGTAGATCAATGAATTCTCTATTGAATGAGCTCAAAAGCGGGTTTTCAAACGATTTTTGGTACCTGAAAAACAGAAAACAAAACTGGCTGGTTTAATCTAATCTAATTGTACACGTTTTACAAATTGATCATTCCATTAACCTTAATAAAAGCTTATCACTCTATACAGTGTATCGGGTGGCCTAGATAAAATGAGATACATTTGTTCATTGTTTTTGAGGCACTGTCCAATAGTCCAAAGAGTTCGGTCTAAGCTCAATCGATAGAGAATTGAATTCTCTACAAAATCTGCTAGTTAAATCTTTAATAGCATTTTTCTCGTTTGAGTAACATTCAAAATATTGAATGGTGCTGAGTTGTCGAATTGCGACGTGCTTTTATCGTGTCCTTTTTTGAGATTTTTAACCCATTGTCTGAGGTTCGATAGTTGATTTTTCTAGGTAGAAAAATAGAGAATTTTGTGCTCTATCGGTCTCACTCATTTACAACTTCATACAATGTTTCTGCTACGTCAGCTGGACTCATAATTAGTTCTCAACCGGCTTTTCAATTTTTTCAAATTAAACTAATTTTTTTAAGTAATGGTTTCAATTCAGAAACTTTGTTTATATATCAAAAGATGGAGAATTTTATCTGGATCACCCGATCTATGAAATATTTATTTTTTAATTTATTCTTGTGCATTTTTTCTCTGCTGAACACTTGTCTCGGAAGCAGAAAAATGAAGGTTTTTTAAACAAGACAAGAAATGGCGAAATAACTCCATCTTACAAACTATATTCATAAGAATTTTATATTCCACTTTAAAATGCCCAAACACTTATGAATTTTTAGAATGTTCTTTGTTATCAAAGTATAAGAGCAAAACGGTTTATGTACTTGACGTTCTTTTATCTTTTTTGACAGATAAAAACTATTGTTTTCTGCTTTCAAAATGAGAGAAAAAAAAGTAGAAAGTACAGTTAATACTTCTTTTGAATGCAAAAAAGTTTTTTTTACTTTAGGCTTTAAAAAGATATTTATTTTATGAGTCTAACTGTGCGATAGTTGAAGCATATATTAAACTGTTACATAAATATGACTGAGTGCTTAGCTTGATGTCTTATCTATAAGTGGGTACACATGTATCTAGTCACTCTATATATGACTGTGCTACATAAAAGCCGGCAACATCTGACTATATGCATAGCACAGTATCAGCAAAAGTATGTAAAAGTTTTTGTAAATCGAATATAGAACTGCTATGAATAACATGACTTTCAGTCTTGAAAATACTTTATTCGAGCTTTCGCCAGCTTTCAGTTGGCATCATCAGGAATGTAATAGACATTCGAACAAACGATGGTATAAAAAGAAGCGAACAGATAAGTAGGATAGAACAGAAAAAGAGAAATAACTCAAGGAGAAATAACTCATCTATATTCGATTTACAAATACTTAGTTCCAACTCTACCAACAAATTTCATATGTAAAAGTTCTTTGATATAAGTCTATGCTATAATAGAATACACGATATCTTGATTATGTCAAACAGGCTTTAAGAAAAATACAGAAAAAGATGAATTTTGAAAACGGAATGTCAAGAAACTGTCCGAAGACCTCATCTACTTGAAAAAGTGTCTTATGGCGCAAAGCGTGTAATTAACTCAAATTCTACTTAAATATCACTTTGTTTATGATCAAATGATAACGATTTACAAGCTTGTTTACATAATGCAAGAAACAGGTCTTCAGCATTTTGTTTCTTCACGGTAAGGTTAATCCTGAAAACTTACTTTTGGAAAATTGTACACTACTCGTCTGGTACTACAAAAACTCTCATATTTTTAATTTTAGTAGGATGACTTTTTTCTGTGACGATTTTCTAAAAATTCCGGCAAAGGTTTCTTACAGTTTCTAGCGATAGTTATAGATTGGACTTAGTCACTGCACATCAATCAACTTTTTTTACCAGCGTCATCACAGTGCCTGACTCCACAGCCTTCAACTGGAGCGTCTTTAATGGCTGGAATAGTTGCAGAAGAAATGTGTATTAGGAGGTCGACATAAATTAGAAGAAAAAACTGAGATCAAGCTTAATTCTTATTGTTCTCTCGTTTTCTGATCAAATGTTTTCTGGATTCTACAATCTTCTACTAATCATCGACAATAAACATGATGGTTAGAAAAATGAGTTTGTTCTTAAAACAGTTCTTATTCTGAACGTATTTCAAACGCGATAGAGATAAGATTAGACCAAAAGTCTACTGTCCTGTTTCGAAAAATACAACTTGCTTTTAATAAACCGATAAAAACTCAGACGTCTAGTCTTATGTAGATACAAGCATTGGATGCATTTAGCATTGGCAGTGTTGGTTGTTAGGTCCGATATACGTTGTTGTGTATAAGTAGTTTATTAAGTTACTGAAGATGATCTCTTTTGCATAAAAATAGCGTATATTTATATTTAAGTTTACACGAAAAGTGGAATATTCTAGAGTTGATAAAATACACTGGGAAACTGGGGATACATGTAAGAGATCACAGAAACTAAAGAAACTAAGAACTAACACTGGGGAAAATCCTGATAGAAAGAAAGAGAACGAAAAAGATATCTATAGTAGACAATAAGAAATAACACTGGGGAAGTTCCTGACAGCAAGAAAGAGAACGAATATATATATATATGTATGATACCTATCATACAATTCTTTCTTATGGCACGTCTTTAATATGTGCCATAACAAGTGTATCGGTTATTTCAATAAGCCTTCATCTCTAAGGAGCAATTATACACCTCTTTGTAGAATTCGAATGTTCGTTCTAATTTTGTCACCTCTTATAGAAATATAGAAAATAATAAAACCGTAACTTTTGTTTAATGAGAAGATTTTTATCTAGAGGGATTGTTTCTAATTGACTGGTTTCTGACGGATACTTTTTCACTTGTACTAGTTTCTGAAGTTAGAATATAAATTCTTTTCTGTAATAAATCTGCCAATTTAAATTTTCTACTAACACGTTACACGTGCCACTCAATCGCTGATATTTTATATACATAATTGATTCCTGGTTGCACATAATATTTACTGATTATATGAGTTGAAAATATGGATAACTGAATCGTAATTCGGCTTGACTGAGTGCCATTTCAGATAAATAACGGGCATCATTCGGAACGAGAAGTACCGTATTACATAACACTTATTAAAAGCATTATGAATGTTATCCACATAAAACATCTACTTTGGTTCCAACTTTAAATCTGCCACGTTTGATGTAATCGGTTGTGCGACTGTTTTGTCTTCACTTAATGTTTGAGCATCTGTGATACTGGACAAAGCAATATTTTCAAATGGACGTGCTTGTGAAGTCGGTCCTTTTTTGTGAATGAGAGGATGATCATTTTCCCATAAATTGTAGGAAAATGAGCTGGTCTCTAAAATAGTGAGTAAAAAATGTATACTCTCTCCTCCTTATACGCTTAGTTGCATTTTTGTCTATGTTTTGAATTAATTAATTTCTTCTTTTTTGTCTCTTAGTTAGTGGTGTAAAAGATACAAGGGGCTTGCTTCTTTCTTCTCATCATTTTATCAACTTTTTTCTATCTTTAATAAAGTTTATTAAAGTCCAATATACGGCAAAAGAATGAACTTGTACTAGCTGGAAATAATAAGTAACCGACAGCTATTTACCTGGTACTTGCGACTCAGTCTGTGATGCTTGAATTGTCCTTGAAGTTTTTGTAAGATCTTGTTTAATATCACTACTAAATTTTTCAAGGATAATGTGTTCATCGATAGTTTTTGATGATACGTCCTTGGATTGGTCAAGGATGTCAAAAGTTGATTGAGTGCTCATATTCTAAGCAAAGAATAAACTATTTATACTCTTCCATTCGCATACAAAGCTTTCCATGTCAACGTGACGGAAAAATAAGGTTCATGTACAGTCACGGAAAAATGCTTTTGCGTATTCAACACACTCGATAAACCAGTAGATTTTCTATTTTTGGCGAGGACACAGCCAAAAGTTTAGGAAAATTTTTGAAACTAATATTATTCTGCTATGAAAATTTTTTTTTCCCATTTTGTTTGAAAATTTCTTACACTTTTGGCAATACTCCTCGCCAAAAATAGAAAATCTACTGGTTTATCGAGTGTGGTAAGTACGAAAAAACTCTTTTTCCTGACTCTAAATGACCTTTATTTTACTGTCGGTGGTATGGACATAGCAACTTTCTTTCCTCGTGAAAATTCTCAGATCAGAAGAAAGTATTACCGAATTTATAATTAAAAATCTTTGTGTTGCTCTAAGAAAACTCTAATATGTATTAAACGTCTCAACATACAGCATCATAACATACAACATCAATATTTCAATACATTTATGCAATTTTTTCTTTTTCTCGAGTTTATTTGCGTTTGAGAGAAAAATATCTAGCTTCTCTTCCTTAACGTGAAAGCAGTTGTTTATTGCGTTCTGCTAATACAATGTGTGTGTATGCACAAAGTAATATTACTCTAACCAACGTCAAAAGCATAGTAGCTCAACTTATGTGTTAGAAAAAACCCATCACTAGCACGTTCTGCTTTTACTCGATTAGTTCGATAGAAGCAAAAACTCTTCACAATACAATGTAAAACCTTTCGACACTAAAGTCATTAAAAAAATGTCGAAATCTCTCAGTAACTGGTAATGAAAAGAGTAAAATGCTACGACAATAAATTCTTTTTAAAAGCGTTCCAAAATTTCTGAAAAAGGTGAGGCTCGAATTTATTCGAATTTATTAAGTCCAACGTCCAGCACTATACTTCACATTTTTCTGAATATTTAACCTGTCTAGCAGCTGAACTAGGCAAAGATTTTTTAAATTTGTCAGATCTTTGATGAAAACTAGAGTTATATGTTTAAAAAAGTCTTTTTAAATAGAATAGCTGAAATTTATCCCAAGAAAGTTAACCAGCAGTTTTATGTTGTCCAAAAAATTCAGAAAAAAAGCGAAGTTGAATAAGTAATTTGTACAATACGTAATCGTAAAGAGCATCGTTATATACACTTAACTTTTATTTATCGTTCTGTATAATTTTTACAACTTAGACAAAATTTCAAAAGAAAAGGTAAAGGAATACAGGAGAAAAACATTTGATCGATACGATCCGTACAACAACCAATGATACATTCTACTGACCATAAATACACATTCTTATTTATGAACACAGAAAATGAAAAATAAACACGCACAAAAAAAAGAAACAATAAGATTATATAGTACAAAGACCAAGGAAATTCATCAATTTTTATGCTCGTCACAAAGACACATTGGTATGATATATACAGAAACATCATACACACTCGAAAATTTTTTATATGAATATAGATAAATACGGAAAATTTTACCAGCAAAGTTATACTTTTATGCATTAATGTAATAATCATACGGCGAATCAACATAAATTACTTTCCACCTGTCTTTGTTGTTGATGATGCAGATGACGCAGCGTAAGATATGTGATACTCATCGTAACACCTGGCCCTTGTTTCATTTGTCATATAATCACATGATATACCACTACTATTAGAACGTGTATCATTATCATTTGAATATGAATAGTATGAATCAGGCATTAACGTGTTTAAATTGAATATTATGTTGTTGTACGTAGTGAGACAATGATACTAAGAACGATTGTTAGCGCGTTGTAGAATAGTACGTCTTCTACCAAAAATATGTAGCATGTGGTCACAGAGAGAAAGAAAAAGAAGTTTAAATAACAATATACAGTTTACTATTTCCATCGATTTTCTTTCTTTTTTAAACCCTGGACAAAAGAAAATTTTATCACAGGACAGAACACATCTTTGAGGAAAAAAGACACTAGTCAGCGAAAAGTTTAGAAGAAAAGATTGTATCGTCAGTTTCTACTAGGGACAAAACGAAAAAGACTATGATATATGATATTCTTTATATACAATATGTACAGCAGTGTTTTCTCTTATGTATACGTCAGCTGTGAAAAGTTATGAGCATCTAAAAATAGCAACAATTCAGAATTCGTTCATACTCTTAGGTTATCATTTCCTTTTTCCGGATAAACTACGATATAACAGTGGAGAAAAGATGTCAAGATTTTGCGTAGTTTCGTCTAAAAATATAGACAATAATAGATGTGAATATATTAGCACTGCAAGTTTACTAAATACTTTTTAGTCTGAAAATCATTGGGATACACTGACAACAATTAACAAAAATATATCTGTTATAAAAATAAATATAAACAGATAATCTGGAACTGTAATTAGTATTGTAAAAAATAGGAAAGATAAGATAAAACGGGTATATCAAAGTTTTAAGCTATGATAGATAATCCACCGAGACAAATATATTTTAAATTCACATAGTCATCAATTCCATATTTCGAGCTGTCTCTTCCAAAGCCAGATTGTTTTATACCACCTATGAGATACAGATATTATAACGACCGTTTGATACAATTTGCCAAATGAAGCTTCAGCAGTTGTGGTTAAACCTTTATTAACGCTAACCATTCCACTTCTGAAGTTTATCAGCAACACGCCAAATTTGAGGTAAATCTTGACTATAAAAATAATTTAAAAGAAAAAAGTACACATAATATGATATTATTCATTACATAAACTTATAAATATACCTGCTTGTCCGACTTCCACAGATTTAGCAATTTTAACAGCTTTTTCTTCTGTTTTAAATCTGAATAATGAAAAAACAATCATAAATTCCATTTTTACTGGAAACTTTAATAACAAAGAGTGATAAACACTCATTTTTTAACATAATAGAGATAGGCGAGTACACAGTTTTTCGATTACGAGTATTTAAAAATTAAACTCAGGCATAAGTAAGTTTACAATATTCTTAAGATCCAGCAAAAGAAAACATAGAAAAGGAAACGCTTTATTTTGACCAATGGTATTAGTATTCTTCCCGTTCTATTCATGAAAACATTTTTTTGCTTTTCATTGGGAAAAACGGTGTCCCTTTAGCAGACTAATATCAAAACACTTTTGAGCACACCCATTTTTGCAACGCCTTTGTCGACAAACAGACTATTTTCCAATAAATTTTTTAATATAGTTTTGCAAATCGCACGACGATCATCAGAGTCTTTTTTAATATTTTTTCCCAGCGTCGAGCAAACTTTTCATGAAAAAGTAAATATTAGACAATTTTAATAGATGTGATGAATGAGAGGAGTCCCGGAAACTTCACACAATGGTGATATTAGTTTTATCGACTACGCTGATTACCGTGGCAACATATATTTCATTCTCGATGTTTACGTAAAGATATAATTTTCCACTGGAACCAAGCCAAAGTGTGCAAGCAACATCCGATAGAATATGAAGAGTTATGATTAAAAAAAATGTTACCACGATAATCAGCGTAGTCGATAACCCATGTTTCCATGTAGTTTCGACATTTGAAAATGTAACGATAAAAAAGTAGTGGTCTCCAAAAAAATCAGCATCATCACGAATGGTAATGTAATAGAAAGTTCACGTTTGAGTAGATTTGTAATAAAACAATTCTTTTATCTGCCAGAAATGCGAAACGTTAGTTTTTCGATTAACTGTTATTTTTTCTATTGATGGTTTTCCAAAGGCTTCCAAGAAACCTAGCAGAAAATCTCTTAATAATTGGATCTAGCTTTGGCAACTTTAAAAGTTTAAACTACATGGTTTAACGAGTTCAAAGAGAACATCAAAGAAACTTTACATTACCATCTCCATTTCCTAGAGAAAATTTCTCTAAAGCTTTGGTTTTTCATTAAAGATCTTCTAAAAATCCTTCAAAACAAAATAATTTCTCAATCAAAACTACATTTTTAGTTCACAATGTCGATTAATTGCTTCTTCTTTTCGAATTATTTCTCATCTTTTTTGTTGACCTGGAATGTTATCAATTAAACTTCGTCATCAGGCATTTTTTGCATCTGTTTACCCGTTTTTTATAAACTTAGCGTCAATTTTACGGATGTACAACAACGAAAATTCTGCGATTTGTACGCTTTCTATTTGCGACGCATTTATGGTTGTTCACATATGGATTACCATTTATTTTTTTCGCTCACAGAAGAGCGAACTCTTACCGATCGTTTTTCGAGTTATTGGATTACGTTTATGTTGAAATTTTCTTCTTTTCCCAATAATGTAGGTTTAGTTCAAACATGGATTATGTATACTCATTTTCAGTTTTACCGAAATTTATCTTTAACAAACTTCGACTTACGAAAAAATTGTAAACACGCTCGACTATTAGCCATAAATATGTAGATGTTTTTGCAGCTTTTTACAATTTTTGGAAACTTTATCGCCGTTCCTTCAATTATCACGTTACCCGTTTTCACGATTCGTTATCCAAAATCCGTTTCTTCCTCTGTTATCCCCATTCGTTTATATTTTAGATGTATAAATGTGTGTAAAAACCAACAGTGAAAATCTCATGTTGTACCCTACGTGTCTTCGACCCTGTAACAACTTACAGAGGTTGCTGCTTCTGTGTTTAAGGTTTTTAAATATCTTTACAATTACTATACTGGTTAGTACAGATACTCGCTTTTTGTTTGCTAATATACAGCAACAAAACCACACTTTAAGATAGAGCAAAATTTGATCTATCCAACAAACATATTCAAAGAGAATTTCATTTATCGCTGAATTTTAAACACAGTTAGAAACTCAATCGATTTTCTCTTTTACGTCTCATTTATTGCCTCTATTACTTCTATGCTGTTCATACATCGAAAGTCTTACATTTTATTCGATTCTTCTTTCCAATTTGGCGCATTTATTCCATATTCTCTTCTCTTTTTTTCCAATGTACACACTGATGATTGATCTCAATATGGTCTTTTCTTCAATTGTGAGTATTGCTGTTTGGAATGTGATATTTGGCTGAATATGAATAATCTGACATATATTCCACTGCGTGGTACCTGTAGCTATTATTAAATGTTTATATAGTATGCAGGTATAGTTTCTTTTTTTTTCAAAATTAGAAAATAATTATGTCTCGTGGTATGTAGCGTTTAAAGAAATCGTGTAGTGATGTGACTATCGTATTGGAAGTCGGGCGAATTTTTGGCCAAGCATTAATCTATGCTGTGTCACTCGAATGTTGTTCAGGCAAATTTCAAATTCTAACTAAACTTACCTTTGACTACTATGCATATCTTAAATATAAATAGCAATATCGGCATTTGTCATTGCTTGTAAAACAGTAAACAGGTAGTATTGGCTCATGATATGTTTGAAATTGTTATTGACCTTTGTGATATATACACTGAAGTCCGACTATATCACCGTATCTGCTCTTGATCTCATATAACGTCAATGAGATGCGAACTATGTATATAACTGAGGAGCGATACTCAATGAGATCATTTATTATTTATACGTACTACACTGGTTGTCTCACCTAATCTAGCACAATAAAATCGAGTCAATAGGCTGGCTCAATCGATATTTGTTTAAACAAGTGCCCGACAATCGAGATAACTCTTGAAATAGACAGCATAAGCCACTATGGGGACTTCAAGAAAATTAGTACATTCGAATAGTCTATGAATGTTTTGCGAATAACAAGAGCACTCTATCTTGTAGTTTTCAGATATTTCTCATTGAAACTATAGAATATAGCTCGATAAAATGGTTGACACTATTGTTCTCATTATTATTGCCATATTCATTCCACCATTAGCCGTATATCTTCATGAAGATGCTTGTAATCAAGCGGTACTAATCAATTTAATATTGACAATTTTATTGTGGTTCCCTGGTAAGTAAAAACGCCTTCTCTGTTTTATTGATTTATTCACCTTTTTTTTCTTTAATTCGATAGGTTTCATTCATGCTCTTTATGTGATATTACGAACAAATTAAAGTGTCAATCAGAGACTCATGAGTTACATGACAAATTGACGTTTTACCCTTTTTTTTATTGTTTGAATGTTGTGAACCTTTTAAAATCTTTTGCATAAATCTTTGCTGGTTTTCACAAACAAATTGTTTTGGCGATGCAAGACATATCTCTAGAATTTCTTCATCACTCTAAGCCTGTTCATTAGATTCATCTAACAATGATTATATTCGCCACGTTGATTAATCTTTCTTGAGCGCACTTATTTGTCCAAAACATTCAGGATGAAACATCAATGATATAAAAACTCAGCTTCATTTTCTGTTTCTGCATCGCAACTTCAGATTATATTCGATTTACTTCTGTTAACACGATCAGCGTATTTCTCAAACCATGTGTTTCATGTTAATGAATGGAAACAGCAGCACTAGCTGTTTAGTTATCCGTCCTCCGGCTACAGAAGAATGATAAACTATGTTTGCTTTAACTATAAAAAGCCAGTATTTATCTGTTTAACTGCCTACTACAAGCTCGCAGAATAGTCTAATGTAAATGACCATATTATATGACCTGTTTTAAATCTAAAAGAAATTGGAGATTTTTATAGATTTGGGAAGATTTTTCAGAAAGCCTTTAAGCGAAATACCCCGTTTCAATTTTGTTCGATGTGATAATCACGTTCAGCGGACATAATTAACAATATACCAAAGTTTTCAGTTAGTTGGATATTTTAACTCAAATAGCTTTCGGGTGTCTGTCAGTACTTTAAAATTTAAAAAGTAATATATTGTAGAGCCATGCATTAGGTGGATATGTCCATCGGCGGACACGGACATGTACAAAAACTGTCCATGTCCGTGACCGTTCATGCATCAAGAAAAGTGTAACCGCAGTGACCAATAATTCTGCCACGCCATCAACTAAAGCGAAGAGAGTAAGAACCAGCAAAACCCACGACGAAAAAAGCATCATATAAACTTTATCATCGCAATAAACACTGCGATTTCAACGTTTTTCACAATTTTTGACCAATTTTAACAAAGTTTTTCCAAGTTTCAAGGTCTTATTTGGAAAGGTCATGAAGAACTGAATCGAACTATGTATCTATCTCATTGAGTGGAGACTTCATTATTGCGTAGATTCGTGTTTTTCAATTTTGACTAACTTCGACAACTTTTTTCCGAGTTTTGAGGTCATATTTAAAAAGCTTGTAAAAAGTTGATTCGAACCATGTGTATATCTCGTGAGTTTAAGTCTTTATTATGGTATAAAACTGCGTCTAACATGGAAAATTACCTGTTTTTTTCGATTTTTCGCGCTTTTGGCCGAATTTTTTGTCCAAATGAAGTTTTATCCGACTTACGTATCTAAAAATTTTAGACCTTGATATGGCATGAGCTGAGCGCACAAATTGGAAATCTGAGAAACACCGCCTTTCAATAACTTTTGACTTTTCGTTTACCAGTTCATTTTTTCGAAATACCAATGTCATATTCATGATCCGCGTCCAATTTTGAGCCTAGTGATGTATCTTTTTCTGATTTTGACGAAAAATTTTTTCGATGTTCCAAAGGGGAAACTTTGTCTTAAAATTTTTGATGAAAAACGGAAGTAGTTTTCTGGAAAAACAAATTAGCCTTACTTGTTCAGAATTCAACCCTGATTCTAACCACGTAGTTTTTTCTCGATAATTTTTTGGGATGAAAAATAGACTTACCGCCACCAGTCCTTTGTTTAAGGACACATTGAAAAACTTTTAACTTTTTTTCATGGTAACAATTCAGTTGAACGCTACGGATAACGTATTTGGCCGTAAGAAAGGAACAAACAATGAGAATATAGTCTATATCTTTTTTCTTCTTTTCTGCTTTTCTCAGCACATGTTTCTACCACACTGGAAAAAGAAAACGGTGTTCATCTCGGTGTTCTATATCAATATGTAACTAGCAGGGTTCTCAGATGTCCCCCATTCGACCATTTAGTTCCCCAGTCAATAAATTTCCCATGGGGGACATATTTCGTCCCCACTGGCAATTTATTTGAAGTCCTACTACTTGAGCGTCATATTTGAGATGAAAAGATTGGCGGGTTATTACATAATATGCAAAGATTTATGCCCTCTTTAGCATATCTTGTCATAAAGATCATTACCATATAGGTGTTTGGATAGTTTATAATAAATAGAGTTATTCTGAGATTCGTAAGCCGCCTCCAAAAACATCACTCTTCATGTCGTGCGCGCGTCTCAGAGTTTATCAGACGTGCGATATGAATTTGTCGATAGAACTTAATTGAAAGGAAAAATCTATTGTTTGAAATTTGAAAAATTAGCTTTGAACGAATGACTTTAAATTAGACGACAGTGTAATTCTAACGATAAATGGTTAAAAAATTCACAATATTGATTTTAATCTATTTGTAATATGTGAGGGTGAGCTCATCGGGTATTTTAGATTGACATGACATTATTTCGTTAAAATGAGCGTCCATCATTTTGTCCCCCATTCGGAACTTTCTGTCCCATATTCGAAAAAAATAATTTGAGACCCCTGGTGTATAGTCTGCTGTTATTCTTGCTTCCTCGGAAAAATAAATAAATATCTTTTTCACTTCACAATTGCATTAAAAATGAAAATGAATGAGAAGGAATCGGGTGAATTAATTAAGCAAAAGAGCAAAAGTATTCAAATTGAGAAATCTGAAGGAATCGCTTATCAAAGTCAAGCTTGGAAAACATTTTCTCTCATACGTCATGATACAGTTCTTCAAAATTCGTTCAATGTCATAATTGTAAAAAGTTAATTCCATATTAGCCAACTTCTGGCTCAAATCCTCTATTGCGTCATATAATTAAATTTTCATACGCAAAACTTGTCTAAAATACGCGAACATTCTATGGACATGGACAGAAAAAACGTGTCCATGCAGGTCTCTAATTATTCGTCCTGTTCAGCTTTATTTCATTTATTCTGCTCGATTCATTAAAGGGGAAAAAAATATTTCCACAACAGAAGAGAATCAACAACAACAACAAAATAACAGAAAAGCATGCACAGTATTAAAGTAAAAGAAAAAGAAACACCAGTTCTGTACATGACAAGAACTTACAACGAAGTACAAAGGTCTATTTTTCAATGGAGTAAAGAACTGAACTCAAGGTGTTAAGAAAAAACTTAAAACACAAGGAGCAACAGAGGATGCGAGGGAAAGCAATTTATTAATTCATTATTTTGTTTATCAGACAGAATTGATATAGTTATATGTATTTAATATAGGAAGGTAAAAGACAGACAAGCTATAAAGTAAAATATACACATAAATAAGAAAATTAAAATGATATAAGTAGATAGAATGGAGAACTAGTTATATGGATTGATTCAACTGTCACTTATCCTTTCAAGTAGAAAAATATAGCCGAAAAAACAAACGTTTGATATTAAGTTAATCTGTAGGCATAAAAAAAAATAGTTTGTAAAAGAAACAAACAAATATAGCAAAAAAATATATATAAAAAGTAGTAGTACTTATTTTTATTTATGTTTACGTATGCAAACGACTTAATGTCCAACAAAGGAAGAAAACATCACAACTAACTGTTAAACGCATCAGAATACAACAATTGAGTTTTAAAGGTTGCTTTATTTTACTTTCATACACAGGATCACAGTTCGCGGAAGAAGAGAAAGAAAGAGAGGGAGAGAGATGGATATATGTTATCAAATTGTATCTAATTTTATTAATCGAAGTTTTCCGGAATCACATAACACCTAAAAAATTAATATATAATATACTAGAAGGAAATGCCGATTTAAGCAGAGTTTGTATGACATCCGCACAGTGGGCATGCAGGCGGACATTTGGAGAAAACTTGAAAGTAAGCTTTTTCGAAATTCAAATAGCCTTATAAATACTCCGAAGTCTGGGCTATTTAATGGTGAAAAATTTTTTGTTCCAGCTGACGAATTTCGGAAAAAACCTATAAGTAAAAAAGATTCACTAAGGCGTCCTTCAGCGGCAATTTATTTTTGCATTTTGACTATATATTAAGTTATGAGATATAGATATTCGAAATCTGCACTGTTTCGCCTACATTTTTGAAAAAAATATTATTTCAGAGTTAAGCGCGAAGGAGAAAATTGGTATTTTCCTAAACGAAAGTGTTTCCGACTGACGTCTCCAGTGTAGTAAAAATCCTGAATTTTCCTAAAGTCTAATCCGACGTCAAATTACATCAAAATGTTCGTCCACATATACTGTATCCACCATGTATGCGCGAATTCTCCTGAACCAATATACAGCTTTTCCAAAAAACCTTGTTTTTTGAGGCATTTTCCTCAGCCGAGAAACACTTTTATTGAAAATTAATGTGATATTCGGAATCAGCATGAAAAATTACATCGCATGATGTATAATTTGTTAATTTTACAAATCAAATATTTTTTGATAAAAAATTCAGAGCAAGGAGTCCTCCTAAGGAATTTTTTTGAATTCGAGCTTTTTTACTTTTATTAATATCTGACGCATGATAGCACCATATTATGCGAAAATAATCATTTTTTAACTCAAAAAAACGAGATGTCTGCCTGTTCTACGGAAAAATGCCCACTGTGAACCGCGAATAGCGACGACTGTAAGTTAAAGCTATAATTGTGTGAAAAAAAGAATCACTTACCGTAGCTGCTTCATTAGTACCACCGCAATAATGCGAAGATGAAAATACAGTTAATAATCGTCCATTTAATTGTACCTGTAACAAAGGAACTGGTTCATTAATCAACCAGTTTTAAAAAACACGGCTACGATTAATATAAAGTGTTCCTTCTTTTACAAGAATAATAATCGAAACTAACTTAAACATCAGACTTACTTTGAAGCCAACTTGTTGTACTTCGTGTGCTCGAACAACATGACTAAAACTATTTTTTTCTAAAAATGTCATTAATGCCTCTGTTGTGAAAAAGTTGCCAGTACTTCGTCTTGTATTATTAAAAAAACCACCGGTTGCTCCAACAGGAGCTTGATTTGTTGAATCAATGCTGTACGGATCATTCCACATCAATTCCCACGCAAGTGGGCTCTCATTTTCTGGATCACTCAATGGATTTGGTATTTCATTCACTGTTGTAATGAAATCACCGGAACAATTTACTGAGCTTGGGATACCACCTGAGCAAAAATAAACGAAAATTTACACCTTTACTACTTCATCATTCTCAACAAATATCAGATACTTACCGTGTAAACATAAAATCTAAGAAAAAAGACAATGTGAAGTAGAAAAATATGAGTAGATGCTACTATTGCTAATTACTTTTTCATCAATCACAGCAGCTAACGGTAAAACATCGAAGACGGTATTAATTGCTTCCCACACTTCCTTACCAAGTGAATCACCAAATTTGATAATGCATTCCCTCAAAAGTGGAAAACATTCAATAAGTTAATTTTGATTAAAACAAAGAACTTACCGATAAAAACTGAACATTTGTTGCACTTTACGTATTTCATGATTGCCTCTTAATAATATGACTTTTTTCGGACATTGAAATTTTGCTGCTAATAAATAGATAATAACCTAAAATATCGAATAACTCTGTGTATTTTAACCGTAGTAAGATACATTAGATCAAACACTTATTTATTCCACTCAAGTGTCTCAATAAAAACATTTACCAAACACAATTTCAGAGAACAAAATGACCAGTGTTATAAAGCCACACTGTATCGATTGATCTCAACAAAAAAAAATATAAATTGATTACCTCTAAGCCGTGAGTTCCACGATCAACAAAATCACCAAGGAAAACAAAAGACGCTGGAGTTAGTAATAGTGTTGCACGCCATAGAGATTTTTCAAAACAAACCAAATCTTGATAATTCCCATGAATATCGCCTACACTAAGCAAACAAACGTTATGTTTTAGAGAAAAATGTAATAAGAAATATGTACCTAAAATATAGCAAGGTGGCGATACTTTTAGACATCGTGGTTCACGTTTAATTACTTCACGCACTTCTCTGCACAAATTAATAACGTATTTGGCTAAACTTGCAAACGAATTAGGTGTCCATGTCAATGCTTCCTTTAACCCAAAAAAAACAAAAAAACATTTTCTTTGTATAAACACTAAGAGTTGAACATACTTTTGTTTGATCCCGTTTTTCAAAATATCTCAATGAATCTTGTACATCAGTTGCTACTGTACGCTAAAAAAAGAACGCAAATTGTTCGAATGAAGTAACAATCATTTTTTTCTACTTACACGATCAAATATTTCTTCGGATGAAGAACGTGGCATAGATTTCAGTGCATTTTCGGTCGTATAACTTAACTGATCAGTATTTTGATTAATCATTGTTCGCAATGATTCAACTTGTGCCAATGTACCCGATTTTTTCAACGTCACACAATGATCAGCTATTTCGTAAAGATGATTTGATGTTGCTAAACATAAATCAAAATAACAGCACAATAATAGTAAGATAAAAGATACGCACATTTATCAAATGAAGAATCTGGTTTAGCTTCTATATATCGTCTAAAAGATACAACAGATGTAACGGGTTACACATGTTGTTAATTTAATTTTCTTGTTCTTACTTTGATACTCGTAACAGATCTTGTACACTTGAATTTAAACGGAATAAAACAGATGTACCACGATATTTTAACTGACCAACGGAATTGAGAAAATCTGTTAACTGTAATTTATAATCTGCTTGTAAATTGAATGAGCTAGTTGAATGAATCCAAAGTTAAAAATAAGTTATCAAGTAAAACAATACCAACAATAGAAACAACATACTTATATGCCGCGAGAATCTCGTTGTAGGGTGGCACATCAGAGTTAATATTTGTTTTTCCACTTTTTAGATTTTGTACATCAGCATGTAAATCTCTACGAAGAGTGTAGACATGTGTATATATTAAATAATGACAAAATAACGTTGAACAAAATACCTAAATTCATCGATAGACATTGAGCCAGTATTACTTGTATTATAAAACCGAAATATATAACGACATCTTTGCTCAGCAGGTGCGCCACCATGAGACGTGTTCGGATCCATTGCTGCTAATCCTAAAATTGAATAAATATAACGTAAACTAAACTGTCTGTTGTTTCGTAATAAAAAATATGAATAAATATTTATCACTAAAAAGACTTCAAAGAAACATACCTAGTAGATAATCTAAATATGTTAAATATGATTTTTGTTGTGAATCGAACGCTCTAAAGTAACGTTGTAATTTGTGTTTATCGGATGCCAAAATTTTATTATCCATTGCTTCGCAAAACGCTTGATAACTCATATATTCACTTGGAAATGTGTATGAATTAAATTCTTTGAATATTTTTTCTTGAACTAAAATGACGGATAGAATACATATAATTTTCTATAATTGCGTTTTCAAATTGGCACAAGAATAACATGTATCCTGAATAACACACAATCCTTTGAGTAACACACGACCCTTTCTTGGAACACATACGTTTAGCATTGAATTTAGCAGATCCTATGAGTTGTTCTTGCGGTGATGCGTTTGTTTGGTTACTCTGATCGGGTTGTTTGCATTCAATTAATTGTAACATTGGTTCTTCAATTATTTGACTATTGGAAATATAATCTTCTAAGGTTGAAGAAAATAGAATGATATAGTTTCATAGTCTTTTCTACGTATGCCTTTATACTACCATGTAACTGCTGTTTCTCCAATATCGATTTCAGCTGGAAAAACGGTTCCATGCCAAGTAATTCACGATTTATCATTGCTGTTTTCAAACGTTCTAGATTCATCCAAATATGATTGATATTGATTGAATTATTTCTTGTCTGAAAATAAAATAGCTTTTGATCATAACTTCAAGTTCGAGAAAAAAAAACGAAAGACGTACCAATTTACCACGATTCAAAAGATAGTAAGTTTGGAAATTTTGAAAACATGGTAATTGATCACTACAGCGTATTTTCAGTAATGTTACAATGTCACAATCATTTGAACAAGCCTAAGAGAACCAAAATGATCAAATATTCTACTTTTTCAGATAATAGAAATCATGCAATATGTGTATACCTTTGAGGCAATACGTTTAGCTGCTAGTAAACGGGTTTCTCCTGCTTGCAATTCGTCATACGGAAACCTACAAATGTTAATCAATTATTATAGTATTGATCTTCGTAGTGGACCAGAGTTAAAATACCAGTATCCACGATTATATTGTTGTTCACATAGTAATATGGTATCTCGTTCTTTATCAATAATAACACAAATAACTAGCTTCATTTCATCTAAAAATAATAGCTAATGAGAAGTAGATAAAATAATGGAGATAATGAGGAAAGAATATATTTTTTCCAATGAATCTAGTTACGCTTTTGAAAGAATACGTATCATATAACATACCTTCGTTACTGAAAAGACATTTTCGTTGTGTCTCTCGTGCTTGGACTTGACATGAAAGAAAAGGAAGAAGGATAAATTTATACTATCAGTTATACTGGTCTTGTTAGTAGTAATATCAACTATAGAGAAATAACTTTTCTTTTTTTTTGAACATGAAGTAGACATTTTTCTTTTTCTGTTACCAGCGGCAGATTTTCTTTGTTTCTTCCGTTTCTAAAAGATAATACTAATCAAATATAGTACAGAAATAATAATAACAGCTAAATCATATAAGAAAAAACATTACACCTCTTGTTCTGCTTATTTTCTATCCTTCGTCTGCACGAATCAAAGTTACAGCCACTAACGAAGAAACATCACCAAAATTTCTTCTCTTCTAGCTAGGTAGAGAGATTCACTAAGTACCAAGAAGAATTATGTCAGAATCACGAATTGTAAAAGCTCATAAAACATCTGTGAGACAAAAAGAATATATATAATTTTAGCATGAATGTAAATGGACGAGAGGAGAATTGAAAGAAGGAGAACAACAGCAGACCAAACATACTGAACTGTGACTTTATCGTTTCGATGTAATCACTGTTTCTAGCTAGAATTGAAACGTAGAACTTTTCACTTTGTGCTCAAATGCAAAGTGAACAAAACGGATCCGCTACAACTTTTCGTTAATCAGCCTATTGCAGTCCACGAGATAGAGCTACATTAGCATCAACTCTGCAAACCAGATCAGTTCAGTTTCTTAAGACAAAACAAAGATTTACAATCATCATTTTTTGGTTAGCTGACATCTAACCCGATTAAACAACCGGAATGCCTTACCGCCACTGATTATGGCTTATCCGCTTTAAATGATTCGTTCATCTCGATGGTTTTTTGTGAAGTATATTTCTGACTTATTCTTCGATAAAACCAAATAACTTTGACGGGTGATTATGATGATGGATGAAGAATATCAGTTATTTAACCATAAGTCGACAAAAGAATCTAGTTATGTTCTCTGGGTCATGCAAAACAAGGAGAGAGAAAAAATACTAGTCAAAACGCTAATGTAGTCGAAAATTTCGCATGAATGCTATTATCAACCTTTTTGTGTTAATTAACTGAAGCATTTAAATTATTTACCGCATTTCACATAACTTCCGAGTACTCATATGAGAAGTTAGCATTTTGGTCCTTATAGTAAACCATTAGCAGATGAAACAGATGACGTCATATATGTAGACTGATATAAAGCACATGAATTGAGATAGAAATTAAAGATTTTTTTATTTCACAAAAAATATCAGTAACAACAGAACGTCGCTTTAAAAAAGCTAAAACGTTTCTGACATAAAATTTTTGCTATTTATGCTATTCATCGGTTTCGCGGCGGTGATGTTATTTGTCGATGATTTGAAAAAATCTAGACGACGTTATCGAACACTTTTTGTCGATCTTTATCTATCCAACGTAAAAATCAGACTTGTTGATGAAATTTCCACTTTTTCATTAATTACGAGAAATATGAGAGGCAGGACTTTAATAATATCACAAGTCTTTTGATTTTAATATGAAACCGACTTATCATTGGAAGAAACGTGACGTTACGTTTTCATGAAGCCAGACATTTGTGAATCAAAAGTATTGCTTTTACTTGCTACTTTTTTCGAAAAACAGAACGAGTCGAGTGTTTGTTGTTCATCTGCTTAATAAAATGAATTTTGCTAATTTTGACGATTTTTATTTTGTTTTGTATTGTAAAACAGGGCATTCAATGATACGGAGAAAAACATTCTGCGGAGATCAACGTAGAAGATAAAAAGGATGCGAATAGCGTATGGCAAGTATAGACACGTAGAAAAATTCTACTTCAATTGCAAAAAACACATGAAAAGAATTCTTACTTATAAAAATTGAAAATCAAATATTTTTGATTCCATTTATGACATTATGAGAAAACAAACAGTACATGCAGGTACAATTGCTAAAACTGTTAATAACGAGAAAAGTCTAAGATTTTAGCACTATCTCCTGACGATTTTCCAATTCTATGTGTATGATCAGACATGTGCGCCGATAAAAATTTTTTTGCAGCAAATGAATTTTTAAACATAGGCGGCGCGAGGCTATGAAAATTTCCTCCACCTTCGTCGTCGGCGACGCGAGGTTGTGAAAGTTTCCTCCGTAAATATTGGTTATCGGCGGCGAATCTCCAAAATTGACTAAAACTGACACTGATAAACGAACTGACAAGTGAATGACTAAAAAATTGATACGTAAACGGCGAATGGTACATGAAAGAGCACATGCATGAATACCGCTACCGACTGGTATCAGACTAGTTCAAATCGATCAATTCAAAACAATTCATTCCTTACTAGTGCATGATTGATTGACCCAGCGATCACTCCTAAAACAATCGGTTTATCAGTGTGAACTTAAAAAGGCTTTTTCCGCTCTCGACAACGACAAAAGTTCAACGGCATGGCGGCGGCGGAAGTCACAACAATTTTCTCCAACTTCAGCGGTGTCGATGTGTAAAAAATGGTCGGTGGTGGCGCACAGCTCTGTGTGTGATTACCACATACATCATTATACTCTGCACTAATCTCTCATCTAGGTAGCAGCAAACATCATTTTGGGCTGAATATGCTCGAACAATTTTAGTTTCTGTAACATGGACCGTTCGGTAAGCTAAAGCAGTTGGTAAACAGCAATAACAAAAGCCAGAGGTAGATTAGATAAGTGAGTTTGGAAATTAGTGCTTAATTCCCCTGGTTCTTGTACTTCTAGCTTCTACTCCCTTAATATTAAAAGGCAACTTTATACCAGTATTTCTAGCTTCCTAATTTATCTATTTATTTTATACAATTTGTCATTTTTTTTCTTCCAATTAGCATCTTTTTTTTATCTGCTTCTTTATCTGTTTGTTCGGCAAGATCATAGCGTTACACGTCGGGGACCTCTGGTGATTTCTCACTTTTCGTGAACAAAACTTTCTCATTCATTCTTACTCATTATAGACTGTCTAACATAAACAAAACGTGTAAAAATCTTTACTAGTGCATGATTGATTGACCCAGCAATCACTTCTAAAACAATCGTTTTATCAGCTTCGACATGCTGCAACGACCAGTGTTGCTAATAAGAGAATGTATCCGTGAAACAGTGTGTGCAACACTCCAAGGAAATGAATTGTATACACTGTTTTACACAGCGTGAAAAAAAAAGTGTACACTACACACTCTGAATTTTTAATTTCTATTTTGTTTTTTGCAGGTTTTTGCCAGTTTATGTAGAGAATATAGGGTTGTTTTTCGTGCGTACGATTTGTGGTCTATTGCTAACGAGAAAATGGAAGTACATTCACTGAATCACCAAAATAGAAACGGCACTGCCCTCTGAAATCGCAGAGAAATTTGACAAATGTTATACTGCTTAATTTTTCAAAGTACTGTTTTTTTAAAATTTTACTGTATTTATTTGTATTTTTTATACATTTTTAGATGAAATAAATATGAAGTGATAATAAAAATTCAACATTAGATACTTGTGTTTGTAGCCACGTCTTCTGTATTGTCCTTGCCATAAAAAGAAAAAGTGAACGGACGGACAATTTCGAATATAAAAGTTCGAAATAAAAAGTTACATAGAAATCCATATTTGTTCACTAAAAAAGTCACAGTCTATATGCCTTTTCAAGGATGTCAAGTTTCGGCCCTCCTTCTAATAAAGCAACTTTGATCTTATTTTTCTCTGCCTCTACAGAGTTTACACCACCGTTGGACATACCACACGAAAGAGCACTTCGAGTAGTACAAATACTAATATTAAAACTTCTTCTAATACTTTTACAATAGCAGGCCAGCTGTCACAAAATGGCCGAAAATGAAAAAATGTATTTCCCGTTTTCTGAAGGCAAAACAAAACAAAAAGTTCTTGCACTATAGATAAAAATGAAGCCAAAGAGCTGATTAATCGAACAGAAAAAGAATACGGCCGATATGTATCTTCCTCTTTCAGTACGAAGCCCATCTTTGCAAACCCCTTTTCAAAAACAGTCAACTTTCAGGTCTCACAGCACAAAAACTATACGGTAGAATTTTTTTATATTGCTCCCATTTGTAGTACTCGCCGAGCTCTACAAATTGGCATTAGAGATATTTTTTGCCCGCCCCATTTTCACCCTCTTTTCAGGATCACAAAAGTCAAAAATATCGCTTACTGTTTTCATGTTGTCATCTGATTTTCACTCTGTTCTAAAATTTCAGTCGAGGCGAAATAGTTATTAATACGCAAACCATCTTATTTTTAGCTAAACTAATACAAAACTGCTTATGTTCAACGAACCCGGCTATAAGTTTCTCGCTAGACCATTCTAAGCGATACTTTTCTCACATAAAATATACGGATTTTCATTGGACAAAAGTAGACCAATAACGGTTTGAGACAACAGCGTTCTAGAAATAGCTTTTCTCTACAGCTGTTTTAAAGCAATTTTGTATTAGTTTAGCTATCTTTTTATGCTCTACACGGGAAGAGTCTTGAATTTTTTCCGGCTCTTAGGTCTGTATAAACTGGGCGGACCTGAATGGAAGTACCCACTTCTAATTCTCATTATAAGCGCTGGCTACGATCAAGGTATGACATAATATCACTGTTACGCTAAAATAGTGACAGATTAACAGCACACGCTTAATCCTTTCCAGCCGGCTGTTTCGAAAACACAGCAATAAGTGTTGCCAAATGGCAACATCAGGCTGGAAAGGGTTAAAGTGTATCAGTAGAATTTTTCTGTATTTGCTATATTGTATTTCACCCTATTCTGTCACGATATTATTATCATATCAGGGAGCACACTGCATTTTACCGTTGACTCATTGACAAGTCTTTATCTCTGCCAATAAAAAAGAAGTCATCTTTAAGACGAAAATCTATTGATGAGTCACCTGCACATCCAATGTCGCTGCATGACGGTACATTGGATTCCTTGAGAGTGTTTCATAAAAAATTCTTAAGTGCTCGACTTAACTAAGTCTAGACATAAGTCAAACTTAAGTGTATAAAATTGTGCCTAACAACTCTTCTCCTAATGTGCCGAAGCATTACATAGTTAAACAATAGTTCAACATGATGTTTCCTTACATTGAACACATAACACGAAGAAAAAAACAGAAAAAATTAAGAAGAGAACTGAAAAGAAGGAAGGTTTATGGAATGTTACAGTTAGAATCTAGCTGTCTCAATTACATATTGTATTATAAGCTTATAAAAATCTTTATACAATTCAAAACCTAGATTCTTTCGTAGTAGTAGTAGATTTAGGTCAATGTCACCGTTCAGATCACGTAGTTTTATTTGTTTAAATAGACTTGCTCTCGCCAAACGATAGCTACGACAAGAAAGGAAATAATGTTCTATCGTCTCGGATTCGCCACACTCGCAAAACTCTTCATTAGAAACCAAATGTCGTTTAAGCAGATCGTTGTTCAAAACCAAATCCCATCTGATTAAGAGCTATATCTACCCTTCTATCTACTCCCTTTACAGACGTTATGGTTTTAACAAGTTTAAAATGTTGTAACAAATCTTTTGCAAACGCTTTTCATGTAAGAACTTTCCTCAGGTGCAAGGGGAGAATGTTCCAAATCTTGATTGTATATGGAAAAAAGGAAGATAAAAACGTTTCAGTTTTTCCGTCGATCAGTTGAAACAGATCTAACTCGTTTGGTCGCGTAGTATAAGAACAATTTACTGTGGATTTGATATATTTACATAAAAAGTGCGGGGCTTGCCTGTTAATGACCTTATGCACTACCCAGGTGAAAAACGTCCGGTCGGATTCCGAAGGATCCGTTTCATTCTGACTATTTCCGGCTGTCTCATGTCTGACCGAATCCGGTGAGCGGATTCCGTTCAATTTCTGTCCCTTCCGTTATACTCCAATGTCTGGAACTAAGTTGGATTCGATCGCTGGATCCTCTGACCGAACCGTTCGAATCTGATGGTCGGAAGTGAACGGATCCATCCACCCATAGCTCTTTCTTTTCTCTTTTTTCTTTTCTGTTGCTGCTCTGTACGGTGAATAAATTCACCGATTTGTTTCTCGGTGCTTTTAGCATAAATACAACGCCGTAGAACATGAAACATGAGATTTTTTCTCCAAGTTTTCGCAGCGAACAGTGCGAGTCATCGAAACTGACTGCTGTTCGAAGACGTGTGACTCGGTCAGCCACACACACCTTGGGCTAGTGTCAGGAACTGATTCAAAAATAAATAGTGAACAAGAAGAAAGACATTTATGGCTAAATATTAGCTTTTAACGGCTAGAAAAACTACCCGTAAATCTGATGAAATCCAGTGCTTTCCGATGCTATTTCTGACAGCCACATCCTTTCCATACGATTTTCGATCGGAATGCTGGCAATAGGATTCCGATTCACTCCACCACGGATCGATACGGATTTTGTCGGAATCCGTCGCTTTCCGATGTCTTTCGACGTCGAATCCGAGCGGATTCTGAGCCAGGAATGAACGACCTGTGTAGCTTTAATTTGAACACTTCGTAAGAGAGTTCTAGTTTCTATTTTTGAGATACAACATGCTATTTGTCCTACTTCTTTTTTAAAACGTTTTGTTCCCGTCGAAAAACTACCCTTCGGACTCGTTGGATCCTATTTATGTCGACAGACATTTAGCATGTATCTTGGATAGCTGCTGAAGGTGAAGCAGATCTTACCTTGGCATTGCTGCAACTACTTTTTAAACGCTTGAATGTTCCACTTTCATCAAAACGAAAACCGTCGGTGTAACACATCGATGTGTAAGTTAGATGTAGTAAATGCTTTTAAGCAACTGTCTGTCAGATGAGATTTGTGGACGTTTCTGGATCTTTGTTGGAAAGGCGAATATTTTTTCTATAAAAGGTTGGTTTTTGGATGTCGGTCATCTCCAAAATTATTCGGTTTATTTTCATCGGCTATATCCTGGATAGC